TCTCACTTATGAGTAGAATCTAAAAAAGTCAAACTCAGAACCAGAACCAGAGAGTAGAGCAACGGTTCTCAGGGGTTGAAGATGGGGAGACATTGGTCAAAGGGTACAAACTTCCAGTTATAAGATAAATAAGTTCTGGATGTCTAATGCACAGCATGGTGACTATAGTCAATAACATTGTACTGTATACTTAACATTTGCTAATAGAATAGATCTTAAGTGATCTCACCACACCAAAAAAAAAAAAAAATTGTGAGGTAATGGATACCTTAATGGCTTCATTGTAGTAATCATGTCACAGTGTATCCATATATCAAAACCTCGCATTGTATACCTTAAATGTATACAATTTTTATTTGTCAATTATACCCTAATAAAGCTAGGGAACAGGGAGGCACATAAACAAACAAACAAACAAATAGCTTTCCTTCAAAAAGAAGTAAAATATTCAGGAATAAATTTAATCCCATGAAAAAAGTACACTGAAAACTATGAAACATTATTGAAAGAAATCAGAAAAGATTTAAATAAATTGAAACATATCCCATGTTCCTGGTTAGAAGACTTAGTATTAAGACAGCAATACTTTGGCGCACCTGGGTGGCTCAGTCAGTTGGGTGTCCAACTTTGGCTCAGGTCATGATCTCACGATTTGTGAGTTCGAGCCCCACATTGGGCTCTGTGCTTGATAGCAAGGAGCCTGACCCTGCTTCAGATTCTGTGTCTCCCCTCTGCCCCTCTTCTGCTCATGCTCTGTCTCTCTCCTTCAAAAATAAACATTAAAAAAAAAGCAATACTTCCCAAATTGATCTATAGCTTCAATATGATCCCTATCAAAATCACACCTTGCTTTTTTTCTTTTTCTTTTTTTTATTTTTTGCAGAAATTGAGAACTTGATCCTATAATTTATAAGAAAATGCAATGGACATAAAATAGCCAAAGAATTCTTGAAAAATGAACAAGGATGAATCCACACTTCCCAATATCAAAGCTTACTATGAGGTTACAGTAATCAAGATAGTGTGGCACTGACATATGATACACATTTTGGTCACTGGTTCCAAAGTGAAAGTCCAGAAATAAATCCCTATAGATATGCTGAATTAAATGTTTTTTTTACTAAGGAATAAAGACAATTCAATGAAGAATTGAATGTTTTCAACAAATGATGCCACAACAGGATAGTCAAGTGCAAAGGACTACATTTGGATCCCTTTACCACATCACACATAAAAATTGGCAAAATGGATCATAGATCTAAATGAAGAACTAAAAGTATAAAATTCTATGAAGGAAACACAGGAATAAATTTTTGTGACCTTAATATAAGCAACCATCTGCTAGATATGGTACTAAAACCACAACCAACAATATATATATATAAACCTAATATATACAAATATATATATAAACCTAAAATATAAAAATTAGGTTTACTCAAAATTAAAAACTTTTCTGCTTCAAATAGAACCACCAAAAAAGTGAAAAGACAATCTATAGATGCAACAAAACATGTGTAAATAAGATAGTTGACAAAAGACTTCTTTCCAGTATGTATGAACACTTGTAACTCAATAAGAAAACTAATTTCAAAATGTGTCAAAGATCTTAATATACATTTCTTTAAAAGAGATACACAAATTGGCAACAAATGTTGCATAACATCATTAGCCATTAGGGAAATCCAAATAAAAACCACAGTAAGATACCACTTCACCGAGAATATACTGTGCTGAAGAGGATGTAGACAAAATGGAACCTTACAGATTGCTTATCTGTAAGCAATATGGTTACAGATGGTAAGTGGTGCAGCCACTTTAGAAAGAGATCTGCATTTTCTCAAAATTAAGTTACCATATGATCCACCAATTTCACTCCTAGTTATCTCCCCAAGAGAAATGAAAACACATGTCTACACAAAAAATTTATACACGAATATTCACAGCATCATTATTCACAATAGCCCAAAGTGGAAAAAACTCAAATTTCTATCATCTGATGAATGGATGAACACAATATGGCATACCCATGAAATGGAATATTATTTAGCAACAAAAAGGAATAAAGTGTTGATGCATGCTGCAACATGCATGGCTGTCAATATGGGAGATTTTTGTGGTAAGCAATTAAGAGGATGCCAGGAGGACAGTCATGAAAGGTCACATATTGTATGATTCCATTCACACGAAATGCCCAGAATAAGCCAATCTATGGACAGAATATAGATTAGTGTTTGCCCTGGCTGGAAAGATGAGGGGCGTAATGGGAAATGACTGCTAAGAGGTGACAGAAATGTTCTAAAACTGATTGTAGTAATGGTCTCACAACTCCCTGAATATTACTAAACACCACTAAACTGTAGACATTAAATGAGTAAACTGCATAGTATACTAAAATATACTATAAAGCTGGAAGGAAATAAGGAAGGAAGGAAATGATGGACTTTAAATAAGGCAGTGAGATTATCTCATCTATGCTACAGGGAAATAACTCTGGCTAAAGAATTGGGGGAGCAGGGCAATTAGGCTAGAGGTAAAGAGATGAAGTAGGAAGATGTTGTTATGATCTGTGTAGGAGACGCTGAAAGCCTAAACTTGGGCAGAGAGAGTGAAAACATAGGGATATTCTGGAAACTACCCCACAATGGCAAAGTTTCTATGAAACCAATATTCCATGTTTTGCATGACAGTAAATGGCATGAGTATAAATTTCTTTAGTCCACGGGAAGGAAAGTAGCTTAATTACATGTTACAAAGTTCTCAAAATGTTCATATACTTTGGTCCATTTCTAAATCCCTATCTTAAGAAAAACTTTTTAAAATGTTTTAAGCACCAAATATGTACTATACGATTAATAAGCGTAATGAGGGAAATCAGCCTAAATGCCCAATAATAGCAGAGTACTTAAAAGAAATAGTGGTATATAATTGAATATTATGCGGTCATTAAAATATTTAAAAAGTAAAATTACATAGGAAAATACATGTTATAATATCAAGGAAAATGCAAATACACAAATTCCACACAATGGTGTGGTCCTGATGGTGTAAAAAGGTCCAATGTAATGAATATTTACTAACTACTTTTTCTACACATTATGAATTCTATTTCTATATCAATCTTTTCTCTAATTTCTACAATATATTACTTTTGCCTGAAATAAAGATATTGTATGTACTTTTCTTTTTTAAAAATGTTTTATTTATTTCTGAGAGAGAGAGAGACAGCGTGAGCAGGGGAGGTCACAGAGAGAGGGAGACACAGTATGGGAAGCAGGCTCCAGGCTCTGAGCTGGCAGTCAGCACAGAGCCCGACGCGGGGCTCGAACCCACGAACCGTGAGACCATGACCTGAGCCGAAGACGGACGCCTAACTGACTGAGTCACCGAGGCGTCCCTGTATGTACTTTTCAAAAAAAAAAAATAGCCATTTTATTCTTAGGTTTGAACTGCAATTCAAGGGCCGTCCTTCTCCCTGAGTCTTGGGTTTCCTGGAGCCTGTCTCTTGCCTGGCGCGGGTTGGATCCCACTTCTATCCCGGTGCTATTTCCATCTGCTCATCTCAGCTGTGCCCTTTCTTTCGTGTCCTACTATTTGGTTCCCTGAGAATCCCTCCAGGGCCTTTCCATGAATAAAGCCAGCCCCACTGAAATCTGCCCTCCTGTAGAAAGTGGACTGGCAGGTACCCTCTCTCCGCTCAGAATGGCGTCAGGCCAGGTGGCAGGTGGCAGGATCGGCCACCAGGTGGAGCCCCGGTTCCCAGAAATGGAGAGCCTGCGTCTTTGCAAGTCCCCAACAGTGAGTGTACCAAGCAGCGGACCTGACGCACCCACCACCTCACATGGAATGAACTTAAATTTTAATTTGGCTCAGCCCAGTATTGAATGTACACCATTGAAGTTGGCGGGGCGGGGATAGTGGGGGGCAGGGTGGTGGGCATGAGATGTGAGGAAGGCGAATACCTAAGACATTTATCAGGTCACAGCAGTAGGAAAGCTGACCACCCATGGGAAGCTTCCCTCTAGAACACAAAGCCTTCTACTAACATGTCTTTCGGGCCTCTGCTCACCTCCAACTAGAAAGTCGACCAATGTACTCCACCAGGCAGCCCGCTCCCCAGGTGCCGGCCCTCACCCCTGGAACATTCTTGCTGTGGAGTCCATATCTTTCTCCTTCTCCCTAGCACTTCCAGCCAGTGGTCCAGTCCTATGAGCCGTCTCCAAGGAAGTCTCATTCCTTCCCCGCCACACCCCAGCCTCCCGGCCGCCGAGTTTCTCCCCAAGCCTCCTGACCTCCTCCAGACAACCCCTAGGTGTTCAGATTTGTGTTTTCTTGCCCTTGGACAGTGCCCTCCATGTCCCACTGTACATGGACAACTCTGGGCCTGAGAGCGGCTGGCATCTGACTCACCTCGGTGTCCACCTGCTCCTTGCCCGGAGTGACATTCAGCCAAGACTGTGGAAGAAGCCAGAGCTGACTGAAGTCTCTGCGTTCCAGATTCCACTCTCAGTGTCGGCTCAGGTGTGGCTTCCTCCAAGAAGCCTGCCTGACTCCCCAGGTGAGTCCCCTTCCCGGTGTAGATTCCCAGAGCACCCCTGGTCTAAGAAACCACGGAATACGGGTAGTCGCCCGAGCCACGCTGGGACCTTGGTGAGAGCAGAGACGGAGTCTCCTCTTCTAGGGTCTTCCGGGAGCCTGTGGCGGAGGCAAGCTGAGGGAGGAGGGAAGTGTGAAGAGTGAAAACAAGGAATGGGACACTGAGTCAGTGAATGCACGGATGCCTGGGGGAGGGGACGGCAGCTGAGGCTGCCCGGTGCCCCAGACTGCTAAACCGGCCCCAAGCCAATCCCGGGAGAAGCAAGAACCGGCGACCCCTACCACGTCCGCGGCGGGTCCCGAGGCGCCGCGCGTCAGGGGCGGGGCGGGGGCGGGGCCGGGCTGTGGGGTCGGCGCGTGCAGGGGGCGGGGCCGGGAGGGGGAAGAGGCCCGTGCGCGGGTCCCGGCGAGGTGCTGACGCGCGTGGACAGCGGCGCGCGCACCGTGGCTCTTGGCGCTCGCAGCCCTCCGCCATGCCCTCCTACACGGTCACCGTGGCCACCGGCAGCCAGTGGTTCGCTGGCACCGACGACTACATCTACCTCAGCCTCGTGGGCTCCGCGGGCTGCAGCGAGAAGCACCTGCTGGACAAGCCCTTCTACAACGACTTCGAGCGCGGCGCGGTGAGGAAGCGCGGCTGGGACCGGGCTGGGGACACCCTGGACCCTTCGGGGAGGGCGCCCGGGACTCTTCGGGGCAGTAGGGGCCGGGCTTGGGGAGTGTCCAGGACCCCGTCGGGACAACCCAAGTTCGGGGGGGGGGGGGGCCGGGGCAGAGGCTTGCAGAGTGAGGTCTACAGGGCGCCGCACTTCTCCTCTGGGAGCAGGAGAAGGTGCGAGGTCTGCTCTCCTTCTCACAAACAGGGACCCCGAGCCTCTGAGAGGTTTCTTAACTGGGCCAATACTGTGGGCTGAATGACTTGTGCCCCACTTTGTAGGGCTCCTTCCACAGGTCGTGGGGTGGGAGTGGAGGGTCGTGCAGGTCCTTGCCCAGCCGTGATGCACAGATGGCTCCTCGGAGCAGCCTCAAGCCGTGGTGAGAAAGCGCAGGTCTGGGGGGGTCAGAGGCTGGGTTGAATCTGAGCCTGACTGCTAGCTCACTCTGCGCCCTCACTGGGCCTCAGTTTCCCCAAATGTAAAATGGAAGGGATGACTTTCAGACTGGTCTAGGAATCTGGGTGAGCCCAAGCCCAGCTGGTGGCCCAGAGTGATACTAGCAGATGTCTTCACACCTGGGTAGCTCACATCCTCAGGGCAGATCACCAGAGGAAATTAGAAAGAAGGAACAAAAAAACTTTTGCAACCTGGAGATCATCTGACTCCCAACAGAGTATACACTAGGGAACACTTCTAAGCCAAATGTGAGGACTCAGTGGAGCAGGTAGAGGAAGGAGGGCTTCTCCTCTCCCCTTCTCACTAGATATCCTGGAGCTGTGGGGAGTCCATGAGCAAAGGGAGCCAGTGTTTACTGTACCTCGTGTCTGTGGTACTGAGTTCTATATAAGGCTCCATTTAGAAGCCAGCTCTTGACGGTGACCTGGGCATGAATTGCAGCCCTGTGGCTTTCTCCGTGAGCATAGCAGGTCATAGTCCTTACCAAGCATTTAGTGACTTGCCCAGTCCACTGCCAAGTGCATAGTAAATGCTCATTGTATGATAATTGTAACAGTCCCAACCCACTGCAAGTAGGTACCCAAGGAATGTTCCCTTCCATCAACCCCCAGTACCAGAACTAGACCAAAAAGATTCAGACTTCATAAAGTTGTCTTTTTTACCACTTAGTTGAACCATATAAAAGTGTTCATAGTTGACAATTTTGGGTAGACAAAACTGGGAATTTCATATGGTTCAACTAAATACTTCTTGGATAAAATTCATGAATTAGGTTTTAGGCCTATAGAGCTAAAGTAAGTAATATTCCACTCCTCTTCCCAACTCCAAACTCAAAGTGGGCTTGATTCCTATGCAGGAGCTTCAGAGCCTTGCTATAAGCCAACTTGACACTTAGCCACGTTCAGCATGTTAGCCTGGCTCATGCACCCGTCAGGAAAAGTTAGGTGCTGAGTATGAAAACAACCGTCTCTTGTTTGGCTTCCCCCATTAGAGAACTGGCCCTGGGGACAGTGGTACAGGAGGCCTAATGAGATATCCATTTGGAAAGATGACAGCTGCCATTTCTGAAGCACCTTCATTTATTTCCATTATTTCACGGATTCTCCCAACATCTCAGGGAGGAAGATAGAGTACAGACTACTTCCCCTTAATAAGCAGTGGGCCCCATTCTCCTCTACACACATGCTTGCGTGCACACACGCACACACACACACACACATACACATACACACACACAGCCCTGCAGCACAGGGCACCCCAAATGTGGCTTCTCCCAGGAGGAAACACTATGGTGTGGCCAGAACAGGGTCATTGGAAGAGGAGTGAAAGCACTGTTCTGTTCACTATCTCCCCACCTTGGGAATTCATTCAAATGACACTATGACTAAACACCTCAGTGAGAGTCCCAGAAGCAAATTTCAGGAGAGGTTTGCATGTCCCATTTCCATCTGGGTGAGAAAGGGCAAGCCAGGAGGGGCTGCTGTGCTGCAGGTAGAATCTGCTGGTTCCTAAAGGCTCTTTGAAAAAAAAAAAAAACAGTTTTGAGAAAGTTCCTGTTGATGCAAAATTACTCCACACTTTCTTGCACAGTCCAGAGCTACTTCCTCATTCTCCAGCCAGCCAGTGTCTCTTTAAGGATACGCTGTCTCTGTTGGGTAAAGGTGATAAACCTAAGAGAAAATACTTGCTGAGAAGAATTGGCCATCCCATTTTACTTGAAAATTGTTCCAATCATTAAGGTTAACAACAACAACAACAATAAAGGCAGTGGATTCAGTCCTTTCCAGGTCTTTGGCAGGTGAACTCCCACACTCCTCTAGGCATAATTCAGTCAAATGATAGGACTGATTTTTTTTTTTCCTCAGTGAATTGAGTTGCAGATTCCCAGTTACTCTCATCAGAGTTCTACATACTGATTCAGGTCAGGACTGGGAATTGATACACTCCAAAGGGGACATCCTCCTGTAAATAGTCACACCCTCAGTGGCTCCCCACTGCCTGCTTGGGAAGGCCCACACCACAGACCCAAACAGCCCAGAGATTGGCTGCCACTCCCTGTCTCTCTTGTTCTCTGGGGAGCAAAGATCTGAGTGAAAACGAGGAGGCTCACTTGCAAGTCAGGCTGCACAGATGCACGCCATCCCACAGCATCTGCTGGTCACTGAGCCACAGCGATGCCAAGAAAATCAGACAAGCAGTTCCCACTATGTTTGTGGCACAGCGGTAGGTTGAGGCTGGTCTTGCTGCTAGAAGGTGCCATTGCAGGCCGTGTGCAGACTGCCCCCCACTAGCTCCCCGGGATGGAGCAGCTCAGTGCTCCATACTGCCAGGCTTCTGATACCAGGAGATGGGCAGGCACAGTGGCCGTGCTGGGCAACCCTTCCATGCCTTTTGGGGTGCTCTGTTTATCTGTGGCCCTTGATGACAGAGGACAAGGAAGGAGGAGAGTTCAAGCAGTGCTTTGGGTGTTCTACAGGCCTCAGGTTTGGGAAGCCCTGGACTCAGTGCCTCCCAAGGTACTTTCTAAGCCAGATTTCACCAACCCTTGACCTTTTCCCTTGGTGGTAGAATCTAGAGTTCTCCGTGTGATAGTGAAGTCAATGGAGGGGAAAGGTGTTCATCCTGCATGTGACCCCATGCATCTTTATTTCCATCCTCCTCCTACCAAACTGCCAGAGGAACACCAGGGAGGACTTCCTAAGAGGAATGGGAAGTTGGATATTTTCAGCAAGCCTCATGGCTCCGAATACAGTGAGCAGCTCACATATTGTGGTTACCAAAGATGCCAGACACTTATGGTTAGAAAGCGGAAGCCTCCTCCCTGTTCCCTGCGGCCTGGGCAGGCCTCTGTGCTGGGATGACACGTCTTGGTCCATAACAGGTGTGTAGGCTCATCTGTGCTGCCAGAAATCACCATCCTTCAGGGTGAAAGAACCCTTCGACCGCACAGTGTGTCTTGTGGGAGAGCAGAATCCTCAGGCAAGGTCCCAGAGAGCATTGAGCATTGAGCCCCAGGCCTGTGGGACCTCAGGCAGGCAGCCTGTCTGTCCTGCAGTGTGCTGATCCCTGTGAAGGAGCCAGGAGGCCCTGGGGTGTAGGGTTGGGAGAGGAGTCCCACTTGGGCTGGATGGTCTGAGGAGCTGGGAGGAGAGGAAACAAAGGACACAGCTCTTTTGGGGTGACTTCTGGGAGTGGGAGAGAATGGAGACCCCTGAGCTGAGGCATGAGTGGGCTAGCAGGAAGGTTCTGGTGGGACAAGAGGCCCCGTGCCTCTTGTTTGGAGAAGCACAGTTGGCACTGGGTGGCCCACAGCTGCACATCTACAGGGCCCATCCCTACTCCAGGCCCCACCTGCCAGGAAGATCGACAGAGACCTCAGCTCTCCCATGGGGCTGAGACAGAGGTTCTCACCAACAACTGGGAGTGGGCAGAGAGCAAGGTGAGCCCATGTGACAGGGAAGCTCAGTCAGCCTCAGTCTTGAGGTCACAGTCTAGCTCCAAAGTGACCGACCATGGGCCTCAGCAAAGTGCTTTAGTCCCTGAAGCTCTGTGCCTTCGCCCAGCAAGGGCAGATAATGCCTAGCTTGCAGGACCATTGAGAAATACAAATGACATGATGCCTGAGGGTGCTCCTTTCCCCAAGGGTACAGGCAGCCGGCTGCTGTATGCATCAGAGCCAACAGATCCTTCCTCCCAGACTCCTGGGGTCACTGCCTGCGAGCAGGTGTGAGCTAGAATGGGCCCCTTCACTGCAGTCCATCCCTGACTACACAGAGCAAATCGAGTAGCCAGAAGTAATATGGGAGGAAGAAGCTCACGCCTCTAGGCTCAAAACCTGGGTGGAATTCCTGAGGGTAGAGAGGGGGCCGTGAGGCATTTTTGTTGCTGGCACTGCAGACCAAGAAAAGGGAAGTCAGCATGTGGTGAAGTCTGGGCCTGGACAGCTGCTCCAGGGAAGTGGCTTCTCTGTGGCTCCAGGGGGCTGGAGGGGGCTGACAGTATCTGTGGTATTGATGGCAAGGCTAGCAGGGAGAGGACCGCCATTCTAAAGAGGCGTCATGAACACCTGAGGCAGACATTCTCTTGGGAGGGACAAGACCAGCACCTTGGAATGAAAAGGGAAGGGAGTTGGGGCCCAAGAAGGCTCTCCAGGACTGTGTGATTCTCTGACGGAGGGCTAGATGTCCAGCTGGGGGTGGTAGCCGAGGAAGAGATGGAGCAGCATCTCTGAGGAAGGGAACAGTGGAATCTCCAGTCGCTGTGGCTCAGTGACCAGCCAATGCCCTAGGATGACATGCATCTATGCAACTTCACTTGCAAGTGAGCCTCCCCATTTTCACTCAGTTATTTGCTCCCCAGAGAACAAGAGAGACATGGAGTGGCTGTGCAGGAAAGGTCTAGATTAGAATTCCATCTCTGACAATGAATAGCTGGCGTGGGACTTAGTAAGCCTCAGTATCTTCATCTGTGACACAGTCATGACTGCCCTCATCCTGACATCGTTATGGGCGTCTGTAGCAATTGTCAGCAAGCCTTTTGCAAGTTGTAGAGGGCTGTCCTGCACGCAAGGGCCAGTGTGCCCCCTCCAGCCCTGTAGGGTGGAAAGGCTAGCAGCCCCCCACCCTCCTCATGAGCTGGGCAGCTGAAGAGGACCCTCACCCAGCTCAGCCCAACAGAGGGCACCCCGCCTGGAGTCTCCGTCTCCTCTGAGCCACGTGCAGACAGCAGAACGTCCTTCTCTGAGCAGCGCTGTCCTTCCATTACTCACTAGACCTCCATCTCCATAAAGGCAGAACCCAGGACTGGTCCGTCTCTGTCTTCCAGGGTGCAGCACGGAGCCTTACTGAGGGCAGGCATTCGGCAGGCATCTTGGCTGCATGAACTAAGGGGTGATACAAAGGCTCAGGAACCCCAGAAAACCTCATTTGCCCCCTTTTTTCCCCTCAGGTGGATTCTTATGATGTGACAGTGGATGAAGAACTGGGTGACATCCAGCTGGTCAAAATCGAGAAGCGCAAGTACTGGATCCACGATGACTGGTACCTGAAGTACATCACGCTGAAGACACCCTATGGGGATTACATCGAATTCCCTTGCTACCGCTGGATCACCGGGGAGGGCGAGATTGTCCTGAGAGATGGACGCGGTGAGTGGCCCCGGCCCCTTCCACTCCCTGAGCTTCCCAAGAACTCCTTCCTCCAAGAACTATATTCAGAGGAATAATAATACCACTGCTGTGTGCCTGCGTGTACCTGAGGAGGTGGGACCTTCCTCGGGGTACTAATAAGTCCCACGCTCAGAGGGTGCAGTGAGAGGTCTCTGGCCTCACGTTTCTCTGTGTCCCCTCTCTGTGCTACAGCCCTTCAGGGGCAAGCTTATGACCTTCTTTTTGTCAGAGGGTAACTGAAGTCCCTAATAGCAAATACCTGTGGACGCCCCCCTAGTGGGGCTGCTCTCCACATGAGTTCCCCAGTCCTCCTCTCTGTGATGTCACAGTGGGGCTTGGGCTCCAGGGCAACACGCACAGGCCTGGGAAGGGAAAAGGTCGACCAGGAGTGCTCTGAGTGCCAGCCTAGAAGGGGCATGGCCAGGCCTAGTGGTCGTAGTTACCAGTTGTTAAACCTAGAGTCCCACATTTTGATTAAAAGAGAAACGTTCCTAAAATCTGGCCTCTTAAGCAAGACCCTCGAACATGCCAATCTGGCACCTCAGGAGACCATTCCTCATAAGAGACGGGCAGCTGGCCTGGCCTGGTATGGAGGGACAGAGAGAGGAACAGATGGCAGAGGTCAGCTGACGTCACTCTGTGCCTCTGAATGACTCCCCATTTTCACTAGCCTGTAACCATGTAGAAGTCAAATCCATGTCTTGGCAAAATTCTGACTTCAAGCTGTGGCCCTTCAGTTTCTTCACACTTTAAACCCAGGACGAGAAGTCTCCAAAGCCGTGCACCACTAGAAAAATGAGGGGAGGACAGATGCAGTCACTTCCTTGTTGACAGCACATTCTGTCACTAGATAATTCTTTCTTCACAGAGGTCCAGCAGTGTAGGCCAAATGGAAGTGATATTACCCCCATTTTTTAGCTAAGAAAACCAAGACAGAGGAGGAAAAAGTTCTCTACCTAGTGTTCTTAAACTGCCAGGCCATGTCCCATTGTTCCTTTCTTTTCTTTTTCTTTCTTTCTTTCTTTCTTTCTTTCTTTCTTTCTTTCTTTCTTTCTTTCTTTCTTTCTTTCTTTTTTGAGAAAGAGAGTGAGCAGGATAGGAGGGCAGTGGGAGAGGGAGAGGGGGAGAGAGAGTGAGAGCATCTTAAATAGGCTCCATGCTCAATGTGGAGCCCAACACAGGGCTCTATCCCACAATCCTGGGATCATGACCTCAGCTGAAATCAAGAGCCAGATGCTTAACCAACTGAGCCACCCAGGCGCTCCCTCCCATTGTTTCTGACATGGAATTTAAGAAACCAGTTTCCAGGGGCACCTGGGTGGCTCAGTCGGTTGAACATCCAACTCCAGCTCAGGTCATGATCTCATAGTTTGTGAGTTCGAGCCCCGCGTCAGGCTCCGTACTGACAGCTCAGATCCCACTATGGATTCTGTGTCTCCCTCTCTCTCTGCTCCTCCCTTGCTTGCACTTTGTCTCTCTCTCTCAAAAATAAATGAAAGTTTTAAAAAATTAAAAAAAACAATTTCCAAAAATATTTCTGAACTGAATGATTGGAGCTAGAGGACTTTTGTTCCCTGGCCTCACAACAAACAAACAAACATCAAACAAACAAATAAAAGATCACACAGTTCACTCTGTTATGGTGGCCAGAATGTGGACAGTGGTGGACAGGGCACTTCTCTTTCTCTAGTGTTGGAAAAACACTAGCTCCAGGTCTCCCCCCAACCCTCCCACCTGGGGTCTAGGTTGTACAGTCCTTCTCCCCACAGACCCTGCATCTCTTTCCAGCAAAAAGCATATGGCACATTCAAATGAGGATGTTCAGAAAGGTATAGGCCATGGGGCCTGGGTGGCTCAGTCGGTTAAGCATCTGGCTCTTGATTTTGGCTCAGGTCATGATCTCACAGTTCATGGGTTCCAGCCCTCACATCAGGCTCTGTGCTGATAGTACAGAGACTGCTTGGAATTCTCTCTCTCCCCCTCCCCTGACCATGCTTGTGCTCTTGCTCTCTTTCTCTCTCAAAATAAATAAATAAGCTTAAAAAAAAAAAAAAGAGTAGGCCAAACTTGGTTTACTCTGTGTGTTCGTTTCCAGGATTTCTGTAATAAGTTACCACAAAGTCGTTCAAACTGGTTCAAAAAATGTATGCTGAATTTTTTTTTTTAATATTTAAAATTTATGGGTTTGGGATCTGTTATTAAAATTGATTGCATTAAGACTTCCTAGATGGTGACTATAGTTAATAATATGATATTATATATTTGAAAATTGCTAAGAGAACAGATCTTAAAATTTCTCATCAAAGGAGGTGGGCAGGCAGATGGGTGAAATAGGAGATGGGCATTAAGGAGTGCACTTGGTGTGATGAGCACAGGGTGATGTATGGAAGTGTTGAATCACTGTATTGTACACCTGCAATTAATATAACACTGTTAACTGGAATTAAAATAAAATTTTAGAAGTTCTCATCACAAGAAAAAACAAAGAAAGAAGGGTGTAGACCAGTGTGCAGATCATTAGCACTGCCAGTTCTAGTGGGGTGGGGGGAGGGAAAGAATGCCAGAATAATCCAGATGGGGAGTGTCCTAGAGACAGAGCCCCTGTAGGAGTAGGTGTGGCCCCCAGTAAAGATGCAGACAGCAGGGAGATGCTAAGAGAGGACCTGGGGAATAAATGTCCTCACCTCACTCTCCAATGCCCTCCTCTCTCTGGTGGCTGATCCAACATGGAGCCCATTGATGCAATTCATTCCAGCTGAGGACAAGATCAGGGACCTCCAGGGACAGGATGAGGTGAAGGGTAGATCTGGAGGGGCACATGGAAGCTATCCATCCAGCATGTTCCATTTATCAATTGCTGTGTAACAATCGTAGTGGATTTAAGCAGCCATTTCATTTTTTTTATGATCTTATGGGATGGAAATTTGGGAAAGGTTCAGCTGGGTGGTTTATCTGTGAGCCATGAAGCATCACCTGTCGGGGAAGGGCTAGAAGGCTCACTTTGAAGACAGTTCCTCTCTCACATGTCTAATACCTCAGGGCTCCTTGGTCTCTTTCTCCACCTGGAATCTCATTCTAGAAGCCTTCTCCATGGAGCTGGGCTTCTCACAGCTTGGCCATCACAGGGTAGTGGCACTTCTTACATGGTGGCTGGCTTCCAAGAGCAAGCATTCCAAGAGACATAAAGCGGAAGCTGCTAGTCTCTTCATGTTTGGGCCTGGAAACTGGCAGAGGGTAATTTCTACCTTATTCTGTTGGTCCAAGCGGTCACAGAGCCCACCCAGACTCAAAGGGGACATAGACAGCACCGCTCAATGGAAAGAACGTCAGAGAACTTATGGCCATCTTTAATCCACCACATAGCACAACAGCCAATCCTTTGGACAATCTTGAAATGAGGGAACCCCGCGCGTAAGCAACATGGTAACCTCTGCAATCTAATGCTCCACCCCTGCACCTGGGGTGAACATAAATGTCAGAGTGCTGTCATTGTGGTCCCAGGGATCAAGAGCACCTATGTGAAGACAGCTTCATTAAGGCAGTAATTTCAATCTTTTGGAATCTACCCCCCTCTCCAGAACTCTGGGGCATTCAGTCTAGGCTTTGTCACTTGCTATGTTCCCAAAAGTTCCATCAGTCACTGGGGTAGATGTCCAGCTCCCTCGGGGCCAAGAGAAATGGAACCTACAGCTTTTGAGGCTTGGTATGTGCAGTTGCACATGTTCTGACTTATTCACACGACTGAAATTGAAGAGACTCAATTCCTCAGAGCCAGGTGCCTGAGCCTGAGAAATAAGCTAATTCTTTGAGGTGGATTAGAGATGATAAATGTCGAGTGCCTACAACAGTGTCTCCTACAGCCAATGGCAGCTGTTGTTAGCTAATACTCAGCTTGCCTTCAGTGGCCTCAAGCCCCTTCCCTGCACCACCACTGGATGGCCTAACATCCCCACTGGAGAACAAAGTTCTCCATTGATCTTCCTCTCTGGGCCCCAGTTCCAAGCCCTGGACTGGAGCTGCCTCAGCCAGCAGGTGCTCTGAGTGTGGGCTAGGAACTGTTGGCTGTTGGTCTGTAATGAGCTGGGTACTGAGACTGAGAGTAGACATTTACAAACTTTTATAGCAACTTGCAAGAATTATTCTATGACTGCTGCATCTTCTAATGAAAGCAGGGCTTATGTTTTGAATGTCCTTGGTTTGTTTTTTTATTTCATTTTTCTAGTAGTTAATTTTTATTACAATTTATAAAAATATCAGTCTGTGATTAAATGGAGAATTTTAAACCCACAGAGAGCTGGAAAAGCACTATTATATGCCCCCTTTTTTGGAGGTGCTCTGGAGTCTTCTTAGTCTGGGCTCCCACTGTGTTCACTGGTGTTAACCTAAATAACAATATAAAGGGTAATCATGAGTTGGCCTCTCCTGCTCTAAAGGCCCTGAACAGCTTGCCCTTGCCCTTAGCCACTTGCCCCACTCCTGAAATGAGAGACAAAATATCTTTGAATCTGGGCTTAGGAGGAGGAAGAGGAAGCCCAGGTCCATCATGATTGTAAGGACAATAATGTTAGTTATTGTTCCTACTAACTGGGTGCCAAGCACTGTGTGAAGGGCTCACTAAGTTTCTACTATAACCCTAAAATTGGCATTATTATCCCCATTTTGCATGTGGGGAATCTAAGGCAACTTACTACATACACTGTGCCTTCCAGAGAGAGGGAGAGAATCATTGGCCACCCTCATAAAGCCTGATGATACCCAAGCCTGGGTCATGTATCTGGACATGATTCTCAGAGCTCCAATGTGCAGGGCTCCCAGCTTGCTGAATAAGCAGACAGGAAGAAGGGCATCTGGATGGGTCTTTTATAACAGGAGTGGCTGAGACCATGGATATAAGTCTTTTGTTGAAAATCCACTAATCAGGTGTGTGACCTTGGACAAAGTTCAAAGGCAAAGCTATTCAACCTCCCTAAGCCCTGGTTTCCTCCATATGAACTGGGGGAGTGTTCAGAGGCTTAAATGAGATGATGCATGTAAAGATGAGGCGTGGGCATGTGTGTGAGGGAAACCTGAACGCTGGATGTTGTTACCCTTCTTCCTGTGGCTCTTCTCACACCTGTCCTTTCCTCACAGCAAAGCTGGCCTGCGATGACCAAATTCACATTCTCAAGCAGCACAGACGTAAAGAGCTGGAAACACGGCAAAAACAGTATCGGTGAGTTATGACATCAGACCAAACAGCCCTAAATAAACTCTGCCCACAGCATATGGCTGACCACTGCTGGTAAGTGATGGCCAAACCACCAGTGCCCTGTAGTGCTCCTCAATCCCCAGGCTCCACCTGACCACCACTGTCCAGGCAGAGATAGTAAAGCGTATTAGGGAAAAAACTTTGGGAAAACTGTATCAGCATTTAGGCAGAATGGGGCAGCAAAAGCTTGGATGTATCTTAATGTTCTTTCACCTCCCATTGTAGAGATTACTCCCTCACTTTTTATGTCTTCTGGTAACAATTCTATTATAAAGGTGATACATAGTCTCCAAAAAAAATTTGACAAATCTTTAGCAAACAGACCAAGAAAAATGAGTGACAGAACTCAAAATTTTAAAAGTAGGAGAGAGGAAGCATCAGTACCCACCTCACACAAATTAAAATGCATAAAAGGGAATACTATGGACAGCTGTATACCAACAAATTAGATAACTTGGGTGAAATGGAGAAATCCTAGAAAGACAGGAATGGCCAAGACTGACTTAAGAATAAATAATCTGAATAAAACAACCACAAACCAAAAGATTGAGGTAGTAATTTTGAAACTTCCCACAGAGAAGCCTACACCCAGATGACCTCACTGATTAATTCTATCAAATGCTTAAAGAATTAGTACCAATCCTGCATAAGCTCTTCTAGAAAATAGAACCGCATCTCAATGCATTGAATGAGATCAGTATTATACCAAAATCAAACAAAGACATCATAAGAAAACTACATACAATATCTCTTATGGATGTAGATGTAAATATTTTCAACAAAATATTAGCATACTGGGTGCAACAGCATGTAAAAGGTATGATACACATAACCAGGTGGGATTTATCCCAAGTATGCAAGGTTGGTTTTATATCCAAAAATCAATTAATGTAATGCACCATATCAATAAAGAACAAAGAAACACATGATCATCTCAAAACACATACAAGAGTGCATTTGACAAAATCCAACATCTTTTCATGACTGAAAAAACACTAAAAAAAATTGGGAATTAAATAGAAATTTCTCAACCTGGTAAAGGGCACCTATAAAAAACCTTACAGTTAATATCATTCTTTTTAATGTTTCTTTCTTTTTGAGAGAGAGAGAGAGAGAGTGTGTGAGTAGGAGAGGGGCAGAGAGAAAGGGAGACACAGAATCCAAAGCAGGCTCCAGGCTCTGAGCTGTCTGCACAGAGTCTGACACAGGGCTTGAACTCACAAAATGTGAGGTGGTTACCTGAGCCAAAGTCAGAAGCTCAACTGCCTGAGCCACCCAGATGCCCCCAGTTAGTATCATTCTTAATTTCCTCTTAAGATCCAGGAACAAGAGAAGTATGTCAGCTTTTGCCACTTCTGTGTAACATTGTACTGGAGGTGCTACCCAGGGCAATTAGGCAAGAGGAGAGAAAGGGCACCCACATTAAAGAGCAGTAAGTAAAACCACTGCCATTCACAGATGAAATGATCTCACATGTAGAAAATCCTAAGAAATTCCCCAATAATATTGGAACTAATAACCCAGCAAGGTTGCAGCGTATAAGACCAATATATACAATTCAGTTGTGTTTATGTATACTAATAATCAACAATCTGAAAACAAAAATAACAAAACAGTTCCATGTAATAACATCAAAAGGAATAAAATTCTTATGAATAAATTTAGCAAAAGCAGCCCAAGACGTATACAATGAAAACTACAAAATGTTGAAAGTAATTAAAGAAGACCTAAATAGTCCATCAACGGATGAATGGATCAAGAAGATGTGGTTTATGTATACAATGGAATACTACATGGCAGTGAGAAAAAATGAAATCTGGCCTTGTGTAGCAACATGGATGGACCTTGAGAGTGTTATGCTGAGCGAAATTAAGTCAGGCAGAGAAGGACAAATATCATATGTTTGCACGTATAGGAGGATTAGGAGGAACTTAATGGAGGACCATGGGGGAGAAGAAGGTGGGAAATAGTGGGGGAAAGGGGGAGAGGCAAACCATGAGAGACTCTTGAATGCTGACAAAAACTGAGGACAGATGGATGTGGGGGGGGATGGGCACGGAGAGGGGCACTTGTGGGGATGAGCACTGGGTGTTATATGGAAACCAACTTGACAATAAACTATTTGTAAAAAAAAGAAAGAAAGAAAGAAAGAAGACCTAAAGAAGATGAAAGACATCTTAAATTCATGGACCAGAGGACTTAATATTATAAAAATGGCAATAATCCCCAAAGCAATGTACATATTTAACATGATCCCTATCAAAGTTCCAGCTAACTTTTTTGCAGAAATTGACAACATAATCCTAAAAATCATAAAGAAATGTGAGGAACCCAGAATAGTCAAAACAGTCTTGAAAAAAGAAGTTGGGGAACTCACACTTGCCAATATCAGAATTACTACACTGCTGTAGTAATTAAGACAGTAGTGGTATTGGCATAAGTTTAGATATATAGAGCAATTAAATAGAATTGAGTCCAGAAGTAAGCCCTTGAATTTATGGTCAGTTATTTTTCAACAGAAGCAGCAAGACAATTCAATGGAGAAAGAATAGTCTTTTTAACAAATGGTGTTGGGACAACTGACAAGCTACATGCAAAAGAAGAAATTGGACCCTTACACCACATACAAAAATTAACTTAAAGTGGATCAAATGCTTAAATGTAAGAGCTAAAACTAAAACACTGAAAAAGGCAGGGGTAAACCTTCATGACCATGGATTGGCAAAGTACTTACAGATATGACAACAAAGGCCTAAGCTACAAAGGAGAAGTAGATAAACTGATGTTATCAAATTTTAACTTTCATGCTTCAAAGGATACCATCAAGAAAGTGAAAAGACAACTCACAGAATGGATAAAATATTTGTAAATCATGAATCTCATAAGGGACTTGTATCCAGAATATATAAAGAGCTCTTACAAATCAATAATAAAGACAAATAATCCAATTTAAAAATGGAGAAAGATCTGACTAGACATTTTTCCAAGGAATAAGTATATGAAAAGATGCTTGACATCATTATTCATTAGGGAAATGCATATCACCACCACTTCCTATGGAAGTCAGATAATAATAAGAGTTGTGAGGATGTGGAGAAATCAGAACCTTCATATACTCCTGGTAGGAACATAAATTGGTGCAACTGCTTTGGAAAACAGTCTAGTAGTTACTCAATTTGTTAAATCAAGAATCACCATATAATCTAGCAATTCCACATCTAGGCATATACCTAAAAAAATGAAAATATATGTCCACACACAAACTTGTATATGAAGGTTTACATTATCCATAATAACCAAAGGTGAATACAACCCAAATGTCCATTAATTGATGAATCTGTAAATAAAATGTGGTATGTCTATACATGAAATATATTTTGGCCATAAATAAATGAATGAACACTTCTCCAGAGAAAATATATGGCCGATAATTACTTAAAGGGTGCTTAACATCATTAATCATCAGGAAAGTGGAAATCAAAATCACAGTGAGATACCACATCACACCCACTAGGATGACTAGAATCAAAAAGACAGGTAATAACTAGTGCTACCAAGGATATGGAGAAACTGGAGCCCTCAAACATTGCTGGTAAAATACAAAATGGTACAGCCACCTTGAAAAACAGTTTAGCAGCTTCTCATATCTTTAAAAAAATTTTTTTTTTATTTTTTAGAGACAGAGGGGGAAGCCAGGGGGTGGGGCGAAGAGAGAGACAAAGAATCTTAAGCAGGCTCCACACTCAGCACAGAGCCCGACATGGCACTCAATCCCATGACCTGAGCCAAATGAGCCACCCAGGAGTTGCCCTACAACTCCTCAGATCTTAGACTTCTACTAGCAGTTCTATCCCTTTTTCTTTTTGTGCATGATGCCTACACAAGAGTAATGAAAATAGATGTCTCTATACACACACACACACACACACACACATACACACAGAAACTTGTACATAAATATTCATAGCAACATTATTTATAATAGCCCAAAGTGGAAACAATCTAAATTCCATTACCTGATGAATGGATAAACAAAATGTGGTATATTCATATGATGGAATGTTATTTCGCATTAAAAAGGAGTGAACTATGGATACATACTAAACCATGGATGAACCTCAAAAACGTTATGCTAAATAGAAAAGTCATTCACAAAAGACCACAATTGTATGATTTTATTTTATGAAATGTCTAGAACAGGCAAGTCTATGGACACAGATTAGTAGATTATTGGTTGCCCAGGACTGGAAGTTGGGGATGAGGCATGGAGAGTGACTATTAATAGACACAAGGTTTCTTTTTGGGGCAAAAATATCCCAAAATTAGATTTTGGTGAAGCTTGCACAATTCTATAAATATACTAAAAACCTTTAAATTGGATACTTTTAAGGGGTGTATTTTTGTATGTAAATTACATCTCAATATAATTGGTTTTGGAAATAACACATGATCTAGAGTGCTCCTCTGGAAAACGATGGTCAGTGGGCCGTATCCAGCCTGTAAATTTGTTTCATGGTCATTGTGGAGTTCTGAGTAAACAGGGATTTTATTCCCCTCAGTCCAACACTTATCTGTTGTCTGTATCAAGGCATCTTTCTTTTTTTTTCCTTAAATAGTTTGTCAAGTTGGTTTCCATATAGCACCCAGTGCTCATCCCAACAAGTGCCCTCCTCCATGCCCATCAGCCCCCTTCCTCTCTCTCTCACCCCCCTCAGCCCTCAGTTTGTTCTCAGCATTCAAGAGTCTCTCATGGTTTGCCTCCCTCCTTCTCCCCAACTATTTTTTCCCCTTCGCCTCCTCACGGTCCTCCATTAAGTTCCTCCTAATCCACCTATACGTGAAAACATATGGTATCTGTCATTCTCTGCCTGACTTATTTTGCTCAGCATAACACCCTCAAGTTCCATCCATGTTGCTACAAATGGCTAGATTTCATTCTTTCTCATTGCCATGTAGTATTCCAT